ACTCACCTCAGCCTCCCAAAGGCGCGGGATTACAGGCTGAGCCACCGAGCCCGGCATGATGGAGAATTAATGAGAACAAGAATCAGGAGCAGGAGGGGACAGGCAGACTTAAGGCACTCTGGGCATCTTGAGAAAACTCAAGGAAAAGGGAAACCACATTTAACTTCCAAATGAAGAAAACCTGTGATAAAGGAGAAAAAATAAACATAGACTAGGAGGAACAGAGCACATAATTATTTAGATACACATTAATATCAATAATGACACTGCTGTTCTGGTTTAAAAGCAAAGACTTTCATCTCAATTTAAAAAAATACAACTCTAAGTCATTTACACAAAACCTTGGATATGTGGCTGAGCTTTGTGGAGGCTTGGGCCATTTGGTGTGAGCGTCAAAGGAACGGATGACCCTAGAACGCTGAGTGAGGCCATGCAGACATGTGACTTTGTGACTACCACAGAATCTGCCAGCTGGCCACACCCACTGGATGTTAAAACAGAGAGCCGGCCTTGTACCGGGGATTTGACTGGGCTGACCTGAGCTCCTTCTGAACTTATTTTTGTCCTGTTCCCTGAAAATTTTGGGGTGTTTCCATGGACAGGTAGGGACTATAGTTAGAAAGGAGTACCTGTCACATGGCATGAGAGGAACAACACAGCAGGCAGCTTGCTACTGCTTCCAAAACACTACTTGCCCACCCAGAGGCCTGAGCAGCAAGCGGAGGTGCCCCTGCCTTCTCCAAACCTCCCTATTGCCTCTACACTCAATACCCTTCAGACCACAGGGAGAGAGCTGTGCAGAGAACATGGGTACCTGAAGGTGTAATGACTTTTCTTGCACATGGTCCAGGGTAAAGAACCTGAGCTACTGGCCGGGCTCGGTGGCTCAGTCTAATCCCAGCGCTTTGGGAGGCTAAAGTGAGTGAATTGCCTGAGCCTGCGAGTTCGAGACCCACCTGGGCAACTTGGCGAGATCTCATCTCAACAAAAAATAAAAAAAATTAGCTGGTCATGGTAGCGCGCGCGTGTAGTTCCAGCTACTTGGAAGGCTGAGGCAGAAGGATCGCTGGCGCCCAGCAGGTGAGGCAGCGGTGGCCGGGAGTGGCCACTGCACTCGAGTCTGGGCGACACAGTGAGACTCCAACTCAAAAAAAAAAGAACCTGAGCTATTTATTTATTTATATAATTGTAGGGATGAGGTCTCACTATACTGCCCAAGCTAGTCTCAAACTCCTGGGTTCAAGTTATCCTCCCACCTCAGCCTCCCAAAATGCTGGCCTATTTTTTTTTAGTTTTTAATTTTTACTTTTTTTAGAAGACAAGGTCTCATTCAGCTGCCCAGGCTGGAGTGCAGGGCACAATCACGCTCACTATGACCTCAAATTCATGGTCTCAAGTGATCTTCCCACCTCAGCCTCCCAAAGTGCTGGGGTTATAGGCGGGAGTCACCATGCCTGACCAAGAACCTGAGCTTTGGCTGTTCAGCTCCATCATCAGCCAACCTTGGACAAATCTCTGAGCCTCAGTTTCCTTATCAGATCTTTGATGAAGACCAAAAGGGACTATCATCATGAGCTAATTCTCAGCACAACCTATGAGGTTGGTTTCATTATAATCTCCCTCCTGCAGATGAGGAGACAGGCTTAGAAAGGCAGAGGTAATCCCACTAAGTTGCATAGTAAGTGGCAGAATCAGGATGCAAACAGATCTGTGTTGACCTGAGCCTTTATTTCTAAGCTCCCAGTGGTAGTTCTTTTACACATATAGAAATGCCCAATACCATGCTTGACACAGAGAAGTCTCTGTCCCCAGGATGAGGGCCTGCAAGGCACAGCAGAATAAAGTCACCAGGGGTCAGTCAGTGCTACAGAAAGGGCCCAGAAAGCCTGTGTGAGTAAGCTTCCTACTTAGACTGACCCCAAACATCCCCGGGCATCCACTGGAATGAAGGTGGACTTGTCCCAGTCAGAGGTGCTGCAACATAGAGCCAGTTCAGCCTCTGCCCGAGAGCCAAGGACGAGAACAGGCCAAGACTGCAGCACTGTGCCCACCTCCCCATGGCAGTGATTACCTGTCTCTGCCCAAAGGAGGTGAGGGAGATCCCATGACACCAAGGGACCCTGGTGAATATGGCTACAAAGAAATTTGACCTCTGATAGCCAATAGTAGGCAGGGCCTGGGGGCCTGGCCACTTAGGACTTTGGTCAGTCTTAGGATATATTTTCTGAGATACTTTTTACAATTCTTCGGTGCTGGGCTTCCTTATCTGTAAAGTGGGGACAACAGGTTAGGCCAGGCCAGGAGAGTTGTAATCAGGATTAAAAATGGACATTAGATACTGGGTATAAAGCCAGGTTCCTCATGGGTGGGAGTAAACTTTAGGCCTTGCCCTGGCCTCCTCTTGTTTCTTCTACCTTTCTTCTTCAGCAGCCTTGGGGGACCCCCAAAACCAACTCTCCACAGCAGCTTGTCTCCTCTGGATTTCCCAGACTCCAGCCCCTCATTTCATACTTGTATTCCCCAAACACAAGTCCCCACCTGTACTTTTCTTTTTCTTTTCTTTCGTTCTTGTTTTGAATCATGGTCTCACCCAGTGGCATGATAACGACTCATTACAGCCTCAACATCCTGGGCTCAGGTGATCCTTCTGTCTCAGTCTCCCAAGTAGCTGGGACTACAGGCGTGCACCTCCATGCCCAGCTAATTTTTTAAATTATTTTTTGTTGAGACAAGGTCTTGCTATGTTGCCCAGGCTAGTCAAACTCCTGGCCTCAAGCAATCCTCCCTCCTTGGCCTCCCAAAATTCTGGGATTACTGGAGTGAGCCATCATACCCAGCTACTTTTATTTTTCATGATCAGGCCTTTATTCATGCCAGTCTTGAGTCACAGCCTGTTCCTAACAACAATAACCATAATAATAATGACACATGTAGCGTTTACTAAGTGTCAGGCAGCTTTTTTTTATTTCTGTATTTATTTTTTAGAGAGAGCGTTGCCCAGGCTGGTCTTGAACTCTTGCACTCAAATAATCCTTTTGCCTCAGCCTCTCAAGTAGCTGAGATTACAGGAGTGTGCCACCATACCTGGCTCCAGGCACCTTTCTAAACACTTTACACATTAATTCAGTTTGCTGTCACATTTGCCCAAAGAGGTAGGCACTATTTTTACAATTAAGCAACTTGCTCCAAACATAAGCAGTGCAATGAGGATCTGAGCCCAGCAATCTGGGCCTAATTTCTTCCCTGTTACTCTCCACTGGGGACTGCTTTGACTTGGCCCCAACTGTCCTGTGCAACCAGAGCTCCCATGCTCGGCTCCTCCAATCTTATTCCCAGATCCTGTGCTTTCATCCACAGAACATCTTCTACTTGGAAGGCTCGTCCTCCCCAGCTCTGTGCATCTAAATCTTACACTTTCTGTGGCTGCCTGCCACTGCCCTGACTTTCCTCAGTACTGAATCTGCCTCTTCTCTGGGTTGTCATCACTGTGCCCTAGTTCATAGTGAACTCTGGAGACAGCTAGCCAAGTTATAGACCCCAGTGCCACCACTTTTCTAACTAGGTGAACTTTGGCAGGTGCATCTCTGT